TATTGGTGTCAGTATAGAAAAACAGATCATTAGAACAGAACAGAGTCCAGAAATAAGCCCACACATATACATTTTGGTGTGTACAGTGGAGAAAGGATAGCCTTTTCAACAAGTGGTGCTAGAAGAGGATGGCCACATGCTTCCTCCTTCCTCCACCCAGAGTAACCTTGGGTCCATACCTTGTACCACATATGAAAATTAACTCAAAATGGATCCTAGACCTAAGGGTAAGCCTAAAACTATAATACTTCTAGATAAAGGAAAAATCCTTGTTACCTTGGGCTGGGACAAGATTTTTTAGATATGACACCAAAAGCATAAAAGAACAAATGAATACATCAGATTTTTATCAAAACTAAAATGTTTGCTCTTCAAAATATACTGTTAAGAAAAATGAAAAGACAAGCCAGAAACTGGGAAATAATATTTGCAAAGCGTACATCTCATAAAGGACTTATATCCAGAATATATAAAGAACTCTCAAAACTGTAAGAAAACAACACAGTTTTTTTTTAAAACGACACATTTTTGGAAAATTCACCAAAGATAGATTCCAAATAATCACATGTAAAGATAGTCAACATCATTAGTCATTAGGGAAAGGCAAATTAAAACCTCAACAAGATGGCGTTACACATGACACACTAGTAGAATGGCTAAAATTAAAAAGACGAATACCAAGTGTTAGCTAAGATGTGGAGGAACAGGAACTCACATGTTGCTGGTGTGAATTCAAAATGCACAACCACCTTGGAAGACAGTTTAGCAGTTTCTTAAAAAGTTAAACATGTATAGGGATGCCTGGGTGGCTCAGTTGGTTAAGTGTCTGCCTTCGGCCCAGGTCATGATCTGGGTGTCCTGGGATCAAGCCCCACATTGAACTCCCTGTGGGGCGTCTGCTTCTCCCTCTCACTCTGTCCCTTGCCTCTGCTCGTGCTCTCTCTCAAATTTTAAAAAAATCTTTAAAAAATAACTTCTAGTCATTTGCCCAAAAGAAAATATATGTCCATTAAAGACTTGTATGCAAATGTCCTGGCATATTTTTTTTGTTAATAGCCAAAAACTGGAAACAACACACTATTAGCAAGGATGGAGGGGGGGAGGGCATAGTCACTATCATTCATTTCTGATGGTAATGCAAATTATTGTAATTCCTATGTATTTTGGCAAGAGCAATAAAAGTTGTAATTATCCTACTTATAAAGCTGCATTATGTATAAAATGATGTATGTACCAGGTTACTCACATTAGCTTTGTCTGTAGTAGCAAAAGGCTGGAAACAATTTAGTGTCCATCAACAGGGAACTAGATTTTTGAGAAAAAGTATTTAACATTCTGTATTAGTTTGCTAGGGCTGCCATAACAAAATCACAGACTGGGTTGCTGGAACAGAAATGTATCTTCTTGCAATCCTGGAGGCTGGAACTCAGGTTGTTCTTGTTTTTTTAAGGACTCTCCCCTTGGCTTGCAGACACACACCTTTTCTGTGTGTGTTCACATGGTCAGCAAAATCAAAATGAAACAATGAGGTTATATAAATATTAGAATGTGGCCAAGTCGTCATGATTTGCAGCTCTTTACATGTATCAGCCAAAGCTAGTTAGGACATATAATAGAAAAAAGACTGCATTCACATTAGGAACAAAATCTAGACAATAACTGGGAAACCACTTAGAAAGAAATGGGATTGGATTTTGTGTGTGATCAGTTAGCAGTGAGCACACTGGGTGGTGGGAAGGGGGCACTTACCTTTACTTCCTACATTTTTTTCTAACTGCATATATATTACCATCATAAGAAAAAACATGTTTAAAATTCTAACCACAATTCTGAATAGGCAATCAGTATAAGTCAATACAACATCCAAAATCTCAGATTTCCAGCTATTCATCTCAAATAAGGACTATACTTACTATTTTATTTGGGAAATTAAATACAAAAGTATATCGTATAATGTAAGTTTGGGAATGCTGGTGGGCTGGCAACACAGCAACATCCTTCACAGCCGCTCATCCTCACAGGGGGCTCACGTGGACTGCAGGCCTCACCCGGCTGCATGCTTTCGTGTGCTCTGGGCGTAGGACAAGGGAGGTGACTACAGACCCACAGTTAAGAGTATCAACATCATCCATCCTATTCGCTAGGGAAATTGTCCTTATTGTTTATCTGCAGAGATTTCGATGAAAATCTGATCTGGCTACAAAAAGTATTGAGAAATTTTTTCCAATAATGAAAATAATCTGCAAAGGGCAGCCTATGGACCAAAGTAGGTATGAAAACATACAGATCCACATCCCAAGTGAAGTTTTTCTATAACTTGATTTCTTGAATATAATTTTGGCCAGAAACATTTCCCCTATGTAAAAATGAAACTGCACATTTAGTATGTGCCAGGTTGTGGGCTTATCTGGACTTTTAAATTTGAATGCTTCTTACGGATTACTGTAGCGGTCACGGAGGGGACTGGTGGGGAAAGGCCACTGCCCACCAGGCAAGAGCGCTCTGTGCCTCTCTAGCCCGTACCATTCAGAGTTCATCAGACAACACAGGGTGCCCTCCACTTCGCTGACCAGCTTCATGTGTCTTTTTCAGTCAGTGTGAATCTGGGGGGAAACCACAAAGTTCCTGTTCTAGCCCCAGTTTCTAGTCCCCTCTCCCAAGTGGGGATACTGGCTTGTACCCCACAAGCTCACAGGCAGGCAAGAGCCAGATCAATTGCTATTGGAAATGGGCAAAATCCAGTATTCTTCCTTTCTGCCTTCCCAAACAGCCAGATGATAAATTACTGTCATTAAACATTACATACGCTGAAAATCTGGACAGACCATCATTTCCACCTGCCCATGTGATTTGGAAACGTGTATCCCAGAAACCCAGCTTCTGGGCTTGCCCAAGACACACCACCAGAAACAACACAAGATGCAGAGACCTACCTTCTCACTATGCAGCAAGAGATTATTTACAAGAAATTCAAATGGCAGCAGGGCGGCTGGGGATGGGGTGGGGTCAAGTGTGACTTTTTGGCCGCCTTTTCCCCCAGCGCTGCATAGACATCAGGCTGGCTGCCAGGACCATGAAGATCTGGACTTCAGAGAGCATCTTTGACCACCCATGGGAAACTGTTAAAACAGCTACAATGCAGAAATACCCAAACCCTCCAAGTGTGGTTGGAGTTGATTTATTGGATAGACTTATAGATCCCCCTGGAAAGTTGCACAGCGGTACACTTCTCAGCACAGACAGGACTGCCTGCCTTTGTGAAATCTCTTACTGGATGCAGCAAGAACTAAAACACAGGTGCAAGAACATTCTGTACTTGATCCTACACTTTTATTTACAAATACGGTTTCAGTAGTTGAAACTCACATACAAACCACATCCTCAGGACACAGAAAAAACCATTTTGACTCAAGAAGACATAATTATTGTGAAAGGAGTCAGTCTAAGCAGTTACCTTGAAGGACTGATGGCAAGTATAGTATCTTCGACTGCTAATAATACTGGGCTGAGAAGCAATGGAATGGTTAATACAAAAACTAAATGCTGAGGAGCATGTGGGTAGCTCAGTCAGTTAAGTGTCTGACTCTTGATTTTGGCTCAGGTCACGATCTCAGGGTTGTGGGATTGAGCTCCCCGTCGGGCTCCCACTCAGTGGGGTGTCTGCTTGGGATTCTCTCTCTGCCCCTCCCCTCCCCCACACTCACTGGCTCTCTCTGAAATAAATAAATCTTTAAAAAAAACCTATATTTTAGGCAGAGTTTCTTTTTAAATAAGCTGAAGAAAAGCTATATGACTTTTCATGAAACCAAAGAGGTACAGGGTTTCTAAATAAAAGGAACCATCTGAAAGTAGTAGTGTTTGAAATGACCACCTAATTTTGAGGATTCCAGTATTTATGCAAAAATTACATAATTTTTGAAAAGTACTTGGAAATCATATTGGCATAATAATCTCCTTTAAGGTAGAATTTTAAAACTTGTCATGCATTGGAATTCTTACAAAGCAGAGCCACCTGAACACATACAATGACCCTGCTGTGGTAAACTTCACAAACTTGTATGAGGGAATGCTCTTTATTTTTTTTTAAGTTTTATTTCAGTTTAACTTCTATACCCTTCTTAACCCTGAGATCAAGAGTTACATGCCCTTCCAACTGAGCCAGCCAGGAGCCCCTGAGGGAATGCTCTTTAAAAGGAGAAATTACAGGGGCACCTGGCTGGCTCAGTCAGTTAAGTGTCTGACTCTTGATTTCAGTTCAGGTCAGGATCCAAGGGTCGAGAGTTTGAGCCCCACATCAGGCTCCTCGCTGGGCGTGGATCCTGCTTAAGATTATCTCCCTCTATCTCTCCTTCTGCTCCTCCCCTCCCCCCTCCAAATAAATAAATAAATAAAAGGAGAAATTACATAGTTTTAAAAGACGTATTAATTTGTATAAAATAACTTGTTCTGCTATAAAGCACCATTACAAAGCACAGTGTTTTGGTACTTAAATGACATTTTTGGAGTGAAAATTATCAATAATAAACACATGACCCCAGCAACAACAAAAAAGGATTTTATTATATTAAAGAGTACTGTATTAATTTGCCAAAGTTTTGTAACTTAGGAAAGGTATTACCTTCCTTGGATTTGTACTTAGACGGTATGCTATGCTGTGGGCTGGAAATGTTCACTGAAAAAGTCATTACCGGGGGGAAAAAAGAAAATCAAATGTTAACAAAAGTTTACTTTCATTAAAAAAAAAACATTGTCAAAAAACCATTGTAGTAACTGTAGGCATGTTGTAATTATAGCTAACAGCTTACAGTTTATTACAAAGAGGAGGATGAATCCTGTACAAAAGAAAAACTCACTCCTTAGCCAGATATTCCTGGTTATCATAAAGAACGTCTGTGACCTTTAAAACCAAAGAGGTGAGGCTGGAGAGGGACGTGTAGCACTCTTCCGTGGTGTGGCCCCCCTTGCACCACAGGGCCGCCTGGCGGGGCCTCAGCACAAGGTCAGGACAGCACGTGCTCCAGAACACCCTGTCTAACCAGCTGCTCACACTTCCACCTGGGCAAGAAGTGCTGAGGGGAAATGAGGGGGAGAGGAAGAGAAACAATTGGAAAAGGATTTAAAGTTACATTTTGCATCATTAAAAAGCAGCAACCAATTACATACTTTTCAAGCAGCTAAGTAGCTAAAAGCTAAACTTAAGTACATTTGCTATTTTAGTCAACTGAAATTGAAGCCACTTAAAACTGTACTGAACTCTGATTTTTATAAATAAATTCATAATTTGCTTCAGTTAAACTTAACTGAAGACTTCTGCATTCCAGCAGGTGTCTGCACTTTGGGATTTACGCACAGAAAACCCAGGCGTGGGATTCTGCAGCAGTGGACCACAAGTGGGACAACAGCTTGTCGGGAAGACCACCGAAAGGAGCATCTTCTCGATTAAGCTTCTCTAGTATTGAGTCTAAACATCTATTCTTATCATAACAACAGTAGCCTCTTTCCTCCTGAGTTTTTCAAGGATTAAAGGTATCTGTAATCTGCAGTGTGGGTGCTGTTCACACGTGTGAAGACACTGGGACCCAGCCAAGGCTCACCCTGAGTGTCCCCTGAGAGGAAACCATTCTCGTTCTGAGGCCAAAAGGAGTCTCCCTGTCTTAAAATGGAGCGTTTACTGAAGTCTGGGGTGGGGGGGTGCAGGCAGCAAGGCAGGAAAACTTCCCAGGCTCACAGAGGACCAAAGAAATCTCAAAGAAAAGACAGACATACTTGGGCAAAAACTAAAAACGCTATGTTAGGAAGTTCAGAGCAAATCATCTTAGAAAATAACCACAGCACGAGGGATTATCACACTAGTTTGGGGGAGCGGGCCGTGGTTCCACGGCCCTGCACACCTGATGGGCCTTCCTCACCAGCTCGCGGGCCTATCGAGGGGCCCAGGACCAAATAAATCCCTCCCGACCAGTCAGGAAGACACCCTGCTGTCTAACTTGTTAAATGAATTTTTTAAATGCCTTAAGAATGTAAAATGTAAAAAAAGGGGAAAAAAATGTTGAGTTGTTTAAGTTATTCCAATTCCTACTGCAAAGGGGGAGGAGTTTCTGATTTCTGGACAAATACAATCATGCTTGCCATATGGACAAGTATAAAGAAATCTATGGTTAAAAAAAATGCTTCCCTATTGTTTTATATTATGTGGATGATCTACAGCAGATTCTATAGAAAATTGGTTTTAGATGTGGTTAGACATCTTAGAAGTAGATAAATATATAGTAAGTAAAAGGCATATAAAATTGTCCTCTACTTTTACAATTGAGGGTAGGGCAATACTGAGGGACAAGTTAAAAGCATCTCAAGGGGAAGGCTTCTGATGGTGCACAGAGAGTGACAACTGTCTAGCACTGGAGCACGGGGGGAGAGGGGGCTCAACTGGTTTCCACCTGCCCCAGCCCCACATGGGCAGTCTAGTAGAGAGATCAGCCAAAGAGCTTGAGAAAGAAATTCAAACACAGGATGCACAGGATGAGAGTGTTTGAGATGACGTTTTTTCCTATCTTCCTTTATGAGGATAGCTTTGTTCTTGTGAACCACAGCTTCCTGCTGTGTCCTCCAGAAATACAGATTTTTATGAGAGCACTTCTTCACCATCTGCTTTCTATTCATTAGTATCCTACTTCCAAGAGGATACTTGGGAGGGAAAGTTTTGCTCTAACAACCAAAGATTTTAGGGTCCCTTGAAAAATCTGTCTTTAGAATGTTCAACGTTTGTGTTAGGAAACTATTTAAAGGGTACTAGTAAACAGGGCATAAACAAAGACTGGGTGGCTCAGTTGGTTAAGCAACTGCCTTCGGCTCAGATCATGATCCTGGAGTCCCGGGATCAAGTCCTGCATCGGGCTCCCTGCTCAGCGGGGAGTCTGCTTCTCCCTCTGACCTTCCTCCCTCTCATGCTCTCTCTCTACCATTCTCTCTCTCTCATATAAATAAATAAAATCTTAAAAAAAAAAAAGAAAAAATTTAGCTTAAATTACAGCTCCACAATTTCAATCTTTCTCTGTTAAACTGTTATGTTTATATGTTAAATACTTAGAAATTTTTGATCCATATCACTATTTGCCAAAGAACAGGGATTTGAAAGGTGACCTACAAGCTGCAAATGAGTGCTCAGCACCTTTTTAATAAATTCAAAAAAGCAGTTAAATTCAACAATTTAATAGGCCCTTAACTAGAATAAGCCCACTTACCTAGAATAAGGCCCATTGTGATAATTTCCCAGGAACATGCTTAGTGTTAAATACAAGCAATAACCTAGTAAATTAACCTTTTCTTGGCATATGCAAGTCTTTATATTTAGAAAACAGACAAAACGTGTCTTATACTAAGCATAATGCTTATGCTACAAATGATCATCACAAGGCAACATTTACTTTGCTACTGAGTCTAACATTTCCATCATTCAACACTCTCATAAGATTTAAAGTATCTCAAGACGAGAAATACCTGGCTATTTTTTTTTAATAGGACTGAAGTACCATCATCAACTTCAAATTCTCCGTAGTCTTTTAGACACCGCACCTGAAAAGAAAAACTATTGTTTTATCTAAATTGGTTTAAATATATAGTGACCATAAAGTAAATAGGGGTTATAAAAATACCCACACAGTACAGATTCTAGGCTTTCTGTCTGTCTGTTTCTTCTCTGTGTACCTGGGCCTAGGACTCCTTACTGAGGAGCCAATTGTCCTGTTTGGCTGGGGAGGAAGGAGAATGGCAGGATCTCCAAAGTATGTGCATGTCTGTGCTGACAGCAAAGAAACCCAGGGAGCTAGTGAGGGGAGACAACATCATGTCTTGTGCTCCCTCTGCAAATCCTGGAAAATCAAAATAGTATCTACAAAGAAAAGAGAATGTTTTATTGACTCCAACTTGCCTCTTACAGATTCTTCGATGAAATATCAGTATCTGAGAACAGAACATAGGTAAATCTCCACAATTTCTGTTTTAAAGGAATTCTTCCAATCTTCTTCAATATTCAGTTTCCCAGGAATATGTAGAAGTACACCATGAAAGAAGAGATGCAGACTCACATCATAAGAATCAAGAGAGATTCTTGGTCAGAAGGTAGGAGGGGTAAGGCAGCCTTTTGATAACCACCTTTGTAACTGCCAAGAAGATCACCAACAGACTGTAGCTCTCAGTTTTCCTCCCCCATGAAAACCCATGACAGGAGTTTGTGCTCCTGAGGTCTTGCATTGGTTATGAGTGAAGCCAACCCCACCAGCAAGTTCCAGTCTTCTACTTTTCCTAGATAATTTCATGCCCTGTGATTCCTCTGGTATTTTACTTAGTTCAAGAAATACCATTTAAGAAAAATCCCCACCACCACTACGACCTTTTTGCTTCTTTAAATAGACTTATATTATGGAAAATCTCAAACATTCAGAAGTAAAAAAGACTAATACAATGAAACTCTATCAGCTGGCTTCAACAATTATCAACATGTGGCCAATCTTGCTTTCTCATCTTCTGGATTATTTTTAAGCAAATCCTACATACCATTTCATCTGTAAATATTTAGGTATCTATTTCTACAAAATAAGATTCTTTTTATTTATTTTTTTAGAGGTTTATTAATTTTATTCTTGTTCACAAAGAATCAGCTTTTGGTTTCATTATCTTTTTTTTTCTTAAGTTTTTATTTAATTTCAGTTGGTGTTACATTAGTTTCAGGTGTAAGATTCTTTTTACAAAACAATCTCAATACTGTTATCACATCATCTTAATAATTTTTTACTATCATGAAATTCCCAGTTAATATCCACATTCCCCCATCTGTTTCATGAATGTTTTCTTTAAAGCTGCCATGTTACACCAGAATCCAACAAGAGCTACACATGACACATTTCTGACATGTCTCCACGTCTTTTAATCTATACAGTTCTCTCCCTTTTCCCCCTTCCCCTTGGCAATCTATTGATAAAGAAAGTGGGTACTTTGGTAGTTTCCCACAAACTAGATTTTGTTGTGGATCCCTGTGGAGTCACTTAGCATGTTCCTCGGTCCCTGAATTTCCTACAAACTGAAGTTTCGTCTAGAGGCTAGGTCAGATCAGTTTTGATTTTCTGGCAAATGGTGTTACACACTTCCTCTCACAAGACCCTGTGAAGCACAAAATATCTGGTTGTTCCTTTCTGGATGTTAAGACTGATCAGTGGGTCTAGGTGTTAACCTGTACCCATCCATAAACATCATCTTCATCTCCATTAACTTTTCACCTACTGGTTTTAGAAGCTATTTGCCTCTATGTGTTATGGCTACAAAATGGCACTAATGTAGTTCTTTTATTCTACTGCATTTGTTAGCTGGAATTCTATAAAGAAGAAATTTCCCTTGTAAACAATTTGACTACCCTGAAATAGAGTTTATACAGTAAAGGCTGATAGATGCTTGATCCTATACTTTTATTCACCACTTTTCAAAATGAGTTGCATCCCTCATATTCTCCAAGGGGGACCAAAAAGATTTTATTTTTTAAATTGTTATTGTTATTTGGTATCATTATGCATTCATGCTTCTAACATAACCGATGTGATGCAATTCACTGCAGTTAATCATTTTGATGCTTGCATTATTCCTTCTTTGGCCAGTGAGAGCTCCTTCAAATCGGCTCCCACTTTTTTAGCACTCCCCACTGTAGTCCTTAAAACACTCTGCTTTCTAGGAAAACAAGGTATTCCAAGCGCAGCTTGTGCATTTTATTTAGGACCTGGAATCAGCCTTTTATTTCCCCCTCTGGTTAAGTCTGGTTTCCTTTAGTGGGAAATGGGATTTAGACTCCAGAATTTGGCTGCTTATGGCATTGGGTTGGTGGTGGTTTCTACATCTGTCCCGTGGACAGAGCTAAAAAACACTTTTTTTTAAAGAAGAGAGATGATTCAACATGAGTCCATGCTGATATTTCTAACTCCAGTTTGGGAATATAGGATTTTCACTTAACTTTTTCATGTTAATATTTGAATCACTTTTATTTTGAAAATCTTGGTTCCTGGTGCCACTACTTTTTTGCTTGATTTATCAATATATAAACTGTTTCAAAATAACAGTAATGATATTATTATTAATCATAATAGGATTACTAAAAACAGGTTAAGATTTCTTTGTAATTCTTTTCATCCTTAGAACATATCCACTAGGGATATACAATCAATTTATGTATTTTAAAGTAATTTAAAATAATTCCTGTGTGACTAATCTACCAACTTGAAACACAGGTTCATATGTTTCATTCTGCTTTCAAAATCTGTGGGTTGGTTTTTCACTTTAATTTTTTTAATAATATGTAAAATATGTATATGGTTCAAAGTTAACCCTGTTAAAATACAAATGCAAATTCAGAAAATTTTAGCTATTCTATCCTATTCCCACCATCCCCCTAGAGGTAACATTTTTGGTTTGGATACATGTTTCCTTTCTTTTCTTTTTAATTTTTTTTTTTTTAAGATTTTATTTATTCATTTGAGACAGAGATACAGAGAGAGAGCATGAGCAGGGGGAGAGGCAGGGGGAGAGGGAGAAGCAGGCTCCCTGCCGAGCCAGGAGTCCGATGTGGGGCTCGATCCCAGGACCCCGGGATCGTGACCTGAGCCGAAGGCAGACGCCTAACCATCTGAGCCACCCAGGAGCTCTCCTTTCTTTTTTAATGTAAGTTAATATATACATAGTCATATACCCCCCTCTTCTTAGACAAAAGTAAGCATAATCTATGCATTGAAGAAAAATCTATATTTTATTTTAGTTTTTTTTTTAAGATTTTATTTTTAACTAATCTCTACACCCAACGTAGGGCTCAAACTCACAACCCCAAGATTAAGAGCCGCATGCTCTACTGACTGAGCCAGCCAGGCATGCCAAGAAAAATCATCTTAAAAGGTATATTTACCTCTATATATAGGCTTTTTGGAGGTTTCATATCCTGTGTGATGTCCAAACCTTCATCTCCTCCCAGTGACCTCATATAAGTAGCAAGGGACTTTTTATAATGATTGAACCACTCCATCTGTAAACATAAAGACAGTCATTTGACAAAGTTATAAGAAAACAAACTTGCAGAAATTGTATACTCATCCTTTCATAAATAGCCCATTTCCCCACATAGATCACTACTGACCATTCATTCATTTAAACTACAAGTATTACTAATTGCCTGCTATGACCCAGGCACCAGTCTGGGGATTTAGGATGGATCATTTAACAAAGTGAACAAAAATCTCTATGCTCATAGAAGTTACATACTAGCATACTTAATCACAGACCTAAGGAACATTTGACCAGATACAGAACCATGAAAAAAACACCATTTCAGAATTATGATCTCTCCAAACTCTGCATTGACAGTTTTTTTGAAAACTATAAAACCCTGCTGAGAAAAACACCCAAGTGTCCATCAACTGATGAGTGGATAAGATATGTATATCCATACAATAGAATATTATTCAGCCATACATCAGAATGAAGTTCTGATACATGTTAGAACATGGATGAACCTTAAAAACATCCTAAGTGAAAGGCACAAAAGCCCACATACTGCATGATTCCACTTAAATGAAAAATCTATAATACGTAAATCTACATACAGAGAAAGATTAGTAACCTCCAGGGGCTGGGAAGACTGGAGAGAATATGGAGTAACTGATAATGGATACAGAGTTTCTTTTGGGGGTGTGAAAATGTTCTGGAATAGGATGGTGGTAATAGATGCGCAACTCTGAATATACCAAAAAAAAAACAAAAACAAAAAAACCTGAATTGTATACTTTAAAAGGGCAAACTTTATGGTATATAAGTTATATCTCAGTAAATCTGTTTTTTTTTTCATTGTTGAGAGATATTAAAGAAGACCTAAATATATGGAGGGATTACCACATACATGATTCAGTATTATAATCATATCAACTCACCTATAGATTCAATTCAATCTCAGTCAAAATCTCAATTAAAAAAAATAGAACCTGACAAATTGAGTCTAAAATTTACATGGAAATGCAAAGGGCCAAAAATAGTTGAGACACTTGAAAAAGAACAAGATGGTAATACACACTCAAGACTTAAAGTTACAATAATTACAATACTGTAGAATTGGTATGAGGACAGATTAAGAGAACAGAAGAGAAAGTCCCCTATCCCAAATCCTCAGATATATTGACACTCAATTTATGACAGAAGTGGCACCACACATAGAGCAATGGGGAAAGGAGAACACTTTCAATTAAAATGGTACTAGATCATCTCAATATCGGTATTCAAAATGCAACATTATACACAGAAATCAATGCCAGTACTGTAGATCTCCTCATGAAAGGTAAAACAATACAGCTCCTAAAGGAGTCCATAGAAAAACGTCTTCATAATCCTCATCAGAAAGTATGTGTGTGTGTGTGTGTGTGTGTGCAGGAATCACAACTTTACCATAGTGAAAGGAAGAAGAATCGCTACCAGCCGAAGGAAGAGACCCAGGGTGAGATGTGGGAAGGTTCTATAGGGACCAAGGGCAGGTCACCCCAAGATGGGCCAATTTGGCATGAAGACTGTTTTGAGTTAAAAAGCAATTAAAACCCAGCAGATTCAGGAAAAGCTCTTTACCTTCCTTAACAACTGCCTTAAAATTTAGAGGATCTGCTCCAGGAAGAGAGCTCCCACCATAAACAACTATATTATACTGTGAACAAGGTATGATAGACAGGGAGGGACCTAGCAAGGCCTGTTTGATCAAAGTCCTCTCTTTGTCTCATTGTTTTCTGTGGGTCCAGCAAACATCTGTTTACCAAAGATTTGCTCTTTATCATTCTTCCTGAGGATTACATTCTTTCGCTTTGAAGTCCTAAACCCCTAACCCTTGGAGCTTCTGGCTGCCTCCACTGGTAGAGCATATGACTCTAGATCCTTTTGATCTGAGAGTCTTTAGTTCAAGCCCCACATTGGGCATTGAGCTTACTTAACAACAACAAAAAAGACCTCATTTTGCCTGTTTTTGGAATTTCCTTGTCTGTGTGGATTCCCTGTATGTACGAAATTTGATTTTCTCCTGTTTATCTGTCTCACGTTGAGACACCTGGGTGGCTCAGTCAGTTAAGTGTCCAACTCTTGACTTTGGCTCAGGTTATGATCTCAGGGTTGTGAGAACGAGCCCTGAGCTGGGCTCTGTGCTTAGCACAAAGTCTGCTTGAGATTCTCTCCCTCTCCCTCTGCCCCTCCTCCTGCTTGTGCATGTGCACGCTCTCTCTCTCTAATGAATAAATAAATAAAATCTTTAAAAAAAATCTGTCTCATGTCAGTTTGATTCTTAGTCTGGATAAAAGGACCTTAAGGGGACAGGACATTCTTGCTTCCTGAGAGTAAGCAAACATGAAGCTCCTAGTGTCCTCTCCCTATGGAATCATGACACACTGCCCTCCTGGCACAATGGTATGTAACAATACACACAAAGTACTATCAACCAGGGAGGCTCGCACAAGTTTTGGTGTCCAGAATTTTTACTGGGGTTTCATCACACAGGCACCATTGCTTAAAACACTATCTATGTGACTGAGCTCCATCTCTAGCTCCCCTCTCCTCTCTAGAAGTTCAACTGGTGTCAAGAGATTCAAAGCTCCAAACCTATGGAGCTGGCAGGACCCCCCCAAATTTGTAGCCAGTTAGAATGGAGGGAAGCCCTGGGAACCCCCAAACCTAAGGCTGGTGTCTGCAGTAAGGGCAGTCTTAGCCTGTGAAGTGTGGTCTAACTCTACAGAGTGTCAGAAGTCACTGCAAGCCTTCAGTAGGTAAGTACTACCATCCTCATTGTGTAAATGAGGGAATTTAGGCATAGAGAGAACAAGTCACTTACCAAAGATTAGACAGTAGCAGAAACAAGATCTGAACCCAAGTTTACTTGAGTCTAGTCCTATGTCCTTAAATGTTGGACTGGCTCTGAGCCTTAGTGATGGGTCAAATGAGTTTTGTTACAGATACTCATGTTGACTAGGAAAGAACACACACACACTCTTTGGAAAATCCCTAAATAATAATGCCAGTTCTTTAACCCTACTGATGGATCACTAATAAGTAGGACCCTTTATTTTGTTAATCAGAGAGGTTTCCACATAGCATTTAGAATTGCTCCTGCCATTCTCATCATAGTATATAGTAAATAAATACAGACCAAAAACTGCTGAAAAACAGACATTAAAGACAAAGAGAAATACCATAAATACTATTACAGAACAATGCCAGAACCAGCATTTTCCAGATTCGGAAACGTGAACAACAGTACTAGCTTACTTCTTCAGCAGACATGTGAAATCGTAAGGCATTGGGCAGGACGCTGCCGTACTCCCACCTCAGTGCTCTGATCCGAAGCAATCGGTCATACCTAGGACAGAAAGAAGGTACGAGACTGCATGACTATAAGAAGACACCTTGGGGGGCGCCTGGGTGGCTCAGATGGTTGAGCGTCTGCCTTCGGCTCAGGTCATGATCCCAGGGTCCTGGGATCGAGTCCCGCATCGGGCTCCCTGCTCCTTGGGAGCCTGCTTCTCCCTCTGCCTCTCTCTCTCTCTGTCTCTCATGAATAAATAAATAAAATCTTAAAAAAAAAAAAAAAAAGACACCTTGGGGATGACAAGGAAACATAAGTATGGACTGAATGGGTGCAGTGAAGGGTTCTTTGTTTCTCTAGGTTTGAGAATAGTGCCATGCTCATGGGAGAAAAGGCCCAAAAGGTCCTTATTTCTTAGAGTATTCAGTGGTAAAAGGCCATCAGGTTCTAGAATAGTTTAACACAGGCGAAAAAAACAAGATGAAGCAAATATGGGAAAATGTTAAAAACTGTTAAGCCTATATGAAAGCTCCATGGGGGTTCATATTATTCTCCCCAGTTTTATGAACACTGCAATTTTTCACGATAAAAATTTAATGGAAAAAAAATATTTAGAATGCTTATACAGGAAAAATAAATCTAAGAATTTCTGTTATCCATTTTAAATGGTTAATTAGGAAACCACATGGAAAGCCCTCCATTGTTCCCTCCCACCCCAGGCAAAAATTAAGAAGCTTACAGGTACGCTACAGCACAGCGTCGATTTCTTAACAAAGAACAGTGGCGAAACTTGATGGTTGGTATCAAGTCACTTCGTCCACCCGACTTCACTTCATTCCTGGTAAGAACATTTAAAGAAGAAAAGAACAAATATACATATTTCAGCATAAGATAAACTTTCAAAGCCAACTAACAACTGACTTCCTTGTTTGTTTTTATCTATTTATAATTAGCGGTTAATCTAACCAAATAGTACCTGCTCCACATCAGAGATTTTACTGGTATGTTAAAAAGATAAAAAAGCCAAAAGCTAAAAGCCAAAAGTAAACTAATTTACTTAAGATCATGCTATCAGCATTTCATTTAACCATTTGGTACTACGCATTTTTGCACACTGATTAATCTCCATTATTTTCAAAAGACACATATTGTATTTACTCACTTTTTGGAATTCTTTTATCAGGCTGGAATAAGAGATAAACCTAACATGGTTCATAAGATTATGGCCTTATATCATGTTTTTATTTTAAACAGTACTACTCTTTTGATGGTTTTTCCAAATCCTTGGAATAAAATGGGAGTCAAAATGGTCCTTCAGTTATCCCACAAATATTGATCTTCACCTATGTACGTCTTATACTGTAGTGTTGTTCACAGAGAGGGAAAAATTTTGGTTTTACCCTACAAAATGTACCTCTCCTTAGATATTAGACAAGTATCACATTTAAAAACCAGATGTATAATTAATGGGCACAGAGTTTCAGTATTCCACGATAAAAGATTATGAAGATGGATGGTTGGTGGTAGCTGTGTAACATTATGCACATATTTAATACTACTGAACTGTACACTTAAAAGGGTTGAGATGGCAAATTTTATGTTATTTGTTATTTTACCATAATAAAAATGATGGGAAAAAACAAATCAAAGACAGATGTACAGGATGAGTAAGAATCTACTTTGGAGTTTTAAAAGGAACTGGATACGAAAAGGATTCCTTCCTGCAGTGCCTGCTCCGGGCCCTGAAAAAGAGGCAAAAATCTATGTCCCTGTCCTATCATGTCTTCTAGATCTGCTCTGTACACTTCTGTCACTCTCTGAAAGACTCGTTCTCCACATTGTTTACAATGTGCTCTGGATTATAAAGAAACAGTACAAATAAAATATATCTAAGCTAACTCCAGAGTGTTTCATTAAGTACATAAGGACTTCCTAAAAAATTTTACTTTTACACGAGTAATTAAAAAGGAATAGACTTCCTCTGACAAAAAATTTTAACAGAAACTGGTAATAGTTACTGCCCCCTATCCCCCACCAAGAAAGAAACTAGGTGGGTGGGGCACAGAATTTTGGATCACAAATTTGCAAATGGTACAAATATAGCAAATACAGGAAAATCATTCCCTTACCGGACTAAGGCCTGTTATGCCACCTCCTAAATAAATATGTCTTTAACCTGTTCACTTTCTACTTAGTCCAGGTCACCTCTGCTGTCACCTGGATGGCCAGCATGCCTCCCTCTCCTCTTGGTCCCCTGGTCTACTGTCCACGCAGCAGCAAGGGTGATCTTTTAAAACACAACCATGCCACCATCAGCCCCACGTGCTTAAAATTCTCACCTGGTGTCAACCTTTGCCTGCTTGCTAAGCTTCAGCCATACTGGCCTTCTTTAACTATCACTGGCCTGAGCACCCCACCCTCCTTCACAACTCAGGGCCTTTGCATATGCTGCCCCCTCCACCTAGGATGCTCTCTGCCTACAATCACTGCCTCACTGAAACCGGCTTCTCCTTTAGATCTCAGCTGAAAGGTTTCTTTCTTGGAGAGAACTTCCCTGACTCCTCAATCTAAGTCTATCTATAATTAACTATTCTGTCTCCCAGAACTCTGTTTTCCTTCATGGCATGTATCCCAGTTTGGTGTATCTATATTTATTATCTGTCTTCTGCATTAGACTGTGAGGGTTATGGGGGCAGATATCTTTCCTGTGTTGTTTACAGCTGAAATACCAGAGCCACTTATCAGCACATAATCATTTAATACATATTTGTTGTATGAATTAATGAATGAACAAATTGCTTGGGAACTTGAGTTCAGGACTTTATATCTGCCTTACGCTTACTGTAAACCTGCTATGGTTCCGTTCCTCATTCCATCTATGAAGATTTTTCTGTATCTTTCCTTAAACACCGCAGTTGGAAAACGTTCCCATTGTTCATGGTCTCCACAGATCTTACCAGCATGTTACTGATTTCTATGCCCAAGTCACTGATAAACACCATACCAAACAAGGCCAAAAGTGAAACATCAGGTAACAGACGGACGTCTCTCTAGGCTGAGGTCTGGATACCTCACCTCTGATCCCGGAGTTGGTCCTCCTTGTGTCTTACTCTTCACCAAATCACAAGAACCTATGAAGTTTGTCACATAGCCCATATTCTCCACTGTGCCACCACCATGCTCAGCTCTATATGTTCTCTAACACTACAGCCCTCTCACGCACCAGGCTGTAGCCTTCTGTCACACTGGTTCTCCGTGAACTCCACTCAAGCTGCTGGAAGTCACTGCTGCTACTGCTAAGTTTACGAATTGCCTGTTACCCCTTTAATGCACTAGGCAGCTATTAGTGCAAATGAGCAGTAGAAATTATAGGTTTCACTTTGTTAGGATTTTTATTTGCTCCTGTCTCATCTCTTAGATTCATTCTAATACCTTGCAAGTCATATCATTCAAATAAATATTTATTGAGCATCTGCTATGTACCATGCACTATTTGAATCCCATAGATTTAGGGTGATCAACACAAATCCCCTCAGTCCTGTATAGCTACAGCGTGATCAGGCTCACAAAGAATTAAAAAAAAAAATCATATCTAAAAACTGATGGAACATTATCTGACTTCAGTATCGTATTTCTCAAGCTGTTTTAAAATATCAGTCTTGATCCCAGGGTCCTGGGATTGAGTCCCGCATCGGGCTCCCTGCAAGGCAGGGAGCCTGCCTCTCCCTCTGCTTCTGCCTCTCTCTCTCTCTCTCTGACTCTCATGAATAAAAAAATAAATAAAAAATAAAAAAAAAAAGGGGTGCCTGGGTGGCTCAGACGGTTAAGCATCGGCCTTCAGCTCAGGTCATAATCCCAGGGTCCTGGGATCCAGTCCTGCATCGGGCTCCCTGCTAGGCAGGGAGCCTACTTCTCCCTCTGCCTCTGCCTCTCTCTCTCTGACTCTCATGAATTAAAAAAAAAAAAAAACATTTTAAAATATCAGTCTCATCAGGGGTGCCTGGGTGGCCCAGTTGGTTGGGCATCTGCCTTTGGCTCGGGTTATGATCTTGAGGTCCTGGAATTAAGCCCCATGTCAGGCTCCCTGCTCCCTGGCCTGCTTCTCCCTCTCCCTCTGCTCTTCCCCATCTGCTTGTGCTCTCTCTCTCAAATAAATAAATAAAAAATCTTAGAAAAATATCAATCTCATCAAAACTTACACATCAGACTGGTTTTGTTCATATAAAGCTTTCATCTCCTCCAAAACTTGCCTGAGTCCATCCTCCTAGAACATATGATATTGACACATCCATTAATTCCTTCACCAAGTCTGTAGCAATGTTTGATCTACTCTATCTTTGATTTATATATCTTACCAAAAAGCAATACCTTTGGTAATGGCTATAACAAGTGTTCGTGAGGATGAGGAGAAATGAAACCCTCATACATTGTAGGTAGGAATATAAAATGGTGCAGCCCTATCTGATGGTTCCTCGAAAAGTTTAACATAGAATTACCATATTATCCAGCAATTCCACTCTTAGGTATATACTCAAGAGACTTGAAAACATACGTTCATTCAAAAACTTTGTACATAAATGTTCAGAGCAGCATTATTTATGGCAGTCCCAAAGTGAAAACACCCAAATATCCATCAATATTCATCCATATCCAAATATGCATCAACACCCAAATATGGATTAACTAATAAACCAAATATGGTATATCCACTCAATGGAATATTATTTGGGCATAAAAAGGAATGTAGTACTGCATGCATCAGCATGGATGAACTTTGAAAACATTATCCTAAGTGAAATAAGCCAGAAACAAAAGGATAAATAGTGTGAGATTCCACTTACCTGAAATATCTAAAATAGGCAAATTCCTGAAGACAGAAAGTAGATTAGAGGTTACCAGGGGCTGGGGAAAGAGGGGGATGGGGAGCTATTGCTTAATGGTTACAGAGCTTCTGTTTCAGTTGATGAAAAAGTTTTGGATAGAGGAGTGATGGTTGCACAACCATGTGAATGTAATTGGTGGTACTAAAGTGTACACTTACAATTGGCTAAAATGGCAGATTTTATGTTATATATATTTTACCACAATAAAAAAAAGAGAAAAAAGGCAATAAAAAGGAATGAATTACTGACAATTTGTGCAATCAACATACTGATGAAGGATATTCTCAAATATACTATACTAAGCAAAAGAAATCAGATACAAAGGAGTACATACTGTATGATCCCTACTGGCCCTTTACAGAAAAAGTAGGCAACTCCCAGCATACTGAATCCAGACACCCCCCTGCCCGCCCAGTAAAAAATGTAAGCGTGACTTCTATCTTCCCTTTCATCAAGTAGTTAAAAAGAGATCATAGAAAAGTCTGACTTATTAGAATTCAGTTAAATATTCCTTTTACCAGCAAATAATATTTTAAGGAATAGCTGAAACTCTTATATGATTAATAGATCTGCAGGTATACAAAAGACACAATGTGTGAAATAATTTTATAAAAATACATACATGTGGGGTGCCTGGGTGGCTCAGTCGGTTAAGCATCTGCCTTCAGCTCAGGTCATGATCCTGGGGTCCCAGGATTGAGTCCCACATTGGGCTCCCCACTCAGCGGGGAGTCTACTTCTCCCTTGCCCTCTGTCCCTCCTCTCTGCTTGTGTTTTCTCTTATTCTCTCAAGTAAATAAATAAAATCTTAAAAAAAGATACACACACCCTGGGGCCCCTCGGTGGCTCAGCCAGTTAAGTGTCTGCCTGTGGCTCAGGTCATGATCCCAGGGTCCTGGGATCGAGCCCCGTGTTGGGCTCCCTGTTCAGTGGGGAGTCTGCTTCTCTCTCTCCCTCTGCCCCTACCCTCTGTTTGTGTTCTCTCTCAAATAAATGAATAAAATCTTAAAAAAAAAAAAAATACACGTTTTCAGATTTAGATTTATCTATAGTAAAAACTGCAGTTTTGTGTTCCCACCTCAGGCTGGGAGCCCAAGATAATTTTCCTAAAAACTCACTTAAACTATTACCAGTTCTGCATGTAGAAAGTGGACAATTATTTCAATTTGCTGAATACAGCACCTAACCTTGAGAGATCCTGGAATGAACAAGGCAGAGTCCCTGCTCTAGACCCAGTGACTATCATTTTCCTGGGAGGAAAGATTCTTGAAAGGTCCTGTGGGTCATGGGCTTATCAGCCCTCAGATCAATCAGATGGATTGGCCTGTCCCTGCTTGGCTGTGTCAAAGAGTGGCCAACCTCCTCAGGCTGAGTCTTCCAGGCTGCTGAGTCACCTGGCTATAGGTGGTAGGTTTGTCAGTGGAAGGTGCACATGCAGCAAAAGGTGCCCTGCCAAACTAAGACCTAGAAAAAGGAGTGATTTTATAACTTCTAAGTTCCACCCCTGGACCCCCTCCAGAAGTGGTAACTTAAAATTTGAGTGAAACAGAGAGCTGGATGGACTAAAGGTCCAAAGATCCAGTCGCAATGCTGGCATGACCAGCTCCTGTTGAACAAGTCTGAGTCTCTTTGGGCTTGTCTCCTCGTATGTTAGAGAACCTCCAAAGTGCCTGGTTGTCTGAATGCAGTGTGGAGTCATATTTTAGAGCCTACACACCTTAGCATTCCAGCATCTCTGCTGAACTTCCCACCATTGTCTCCTAACTTTTTAAATGAAATAACTGTGCTGAAAGAACAACAGACAGGAATCTAGGAAATCTGTGTTCAAGGTGAGGCTCTGCTCCAATATGCTTTAAATTCCGACAAGTCCCTGAACTTGATCTGTAATTTCTTTTGGCTCAGTCTCATCTGCAAAAGGACCTAACTGTTCGACCAGGCGCTCTTTAATGTTCAAAACAAAACTCACCTTTCCCCAAACACTCTTCCTCCTGATCTCTGATGTTGTACCTGAGAGAGAATCCCCCCAAGATCCTCTAATTCCTCCCTCATTGATTACCCACCCCATCTCCACCCCTGTTCTAACAGTTACAAGTCCTGTTTGCCTCACCTCCGAAACCCAGACACTGATTTCTGGATCCAGCGACCAGACAGTTTGGACCATACACAGCTCTCACAGTAGGCCTGTCAGAGAGTGATCATAACCACCCATAACCATCTCCCTGCCACCGTTCTTTCTTAGCTCCAATCTGTTCTGCGTAGTTCTGCCATCATTACCCTCAAAACATAAAAAAACTGCCCTATCACTCCCCTATCTAAAATCCTTTACCAGCTTCCAAATGCCTTGTATGTAAATACCCAACTCTCCTAGGCCTAGAACCCACCTTTGTAGTCTCTGCACAAACATCAGTCCCCCCTTCCTATGTGACCATGAGTCTCTGCATGGCTGTATCCTTCAGCTGCAATGCCTATCTTCCTTCTCAGAGTGGGGACCTCATCCTTCCAGGCGTGGCCCAAATGCCCCCTCCTCTATCCCTTTTCATACCAGCATTTCTCCTTATGCTCCTGTGTACACCTCTCTGGTGTCCTCACACTGCACTCTAACACTCCTTTTTGTGCCCTTCTCCCAGCAGAACATGCCCTGGCATCCACACAGTGGCTGCCCTATGCTAGGGAAAGTAGTCAAGTATAGAATTTAGAGTGCAGGTCTGAAGCCAGACTGCCAGGGTTTAAATCCTAGTTTCACTTCTTACTGGCTACGGCCAAGACACTTAATCTCCCCAAGCCTCTGTATACACGGCCAGAAGAAATGGTTTAAATCTCAAAGCGTTCTTATGAGAACAACAGATAACATAAGCTATGAGAACAACAGACAACATAAGCTACGTGCTTAGCACCCTTTTGGGGTAGTAACAGAAAAATAAGAATAAGGGTAATAAGTAGTAGTGAGTAAGGGACAGGCAGGGGTAGGTAGGGAGAGATAGGTAGGGGGCCATGGGATCGGGCTCACAAAAATCCCAAAAATGCAGAGGTGTAAGGAAACCAGAGATAAGGGAACCAGACCATCCTGTCCTAGGTGTCAGAGCTGGGGTCTTGTTATAACAGCTACTTATGACCAACAAAGAATCATGGGACCCTAAAAAGTAAGCCATTGAAGGTGTTCTCACTAGTCTTTACTCAATGGTGCTATCAACAGAGAAGTCAAAAAGATTTAAGTTCCCTGGTTAGCATTCTATAAAAGACCAACCCTAAAAGCCCTCAATAGTAACCCTGTCCCGACCCCTCTCATTCCTGAGAACTTCTTCTGTATCCTCACGTAATTACCTCTATCGCTTTACTCACTCTCCTTTGTCCGCGAGATTCATTCTTGTCTCCGTGAGACAAGAACCTCGCTCTCCCACTTCAATAGCAGCAGCGGTAGAAAGAAAATTAATAGCAAACACTAACTTCGCTGCTACTTGTGTGTCAGGTATTGTCCAGGGAAGCTGCCATATATATGCCACTCCTAGAGCCCTCACTACAGGAAGTTGAATTACGCTCTTTCCCATTTTTACAGAAGAAAGGGACAGCACAGAAAGCCTGAGTAACTGCCCCAAGGTCACACAACGGAGTTCGAATCCCAGCCTGGCTCTACAGCCTAGCTTCTGCCTGAGCGTTCAACAAATGCTAGATTGTTATCAGGCAACCAATAAATGCTTGGTCAAAAAAGGAACCAGCAGTAAAGCTATACATGTTAAACACTGAAAGAAATATACTCAGGAAATTGCTGGGTGATATAAACATGAATGCTCTTTTTCCTGCTGTATTTTGTTTTTCCGTGTTCCGAAATTTTTGTTCCCGACTTTGGAGCTGACACCGTGAGAAAACCCACGCTCGGATGAGACGCAGGTTAGACCCGCGGGGTCGCCGACCCTCCTCCCGCCAGTCCCCTGAGCTCCCAAGCCCCGCCCCTTCAGCAAGGCCAGCCCTGTTTACTACCCCTTTCCCCCCTCACGTTGAAGGCTGGCAGCTGTCCTTCTGGCGCGCGATGCAGCTCGCGAACCAGCTCCATGGCCTTTTCGCAGAACATATCGTACACGCCCTGGTCCCGATGTCTCGTTAACCGCCGGCTCTCACGCCAAACGGTCGCCGGGTTCACGCACACCGCTCTGGGTATCCTATGGCTTCCAGTCGCACAGCTGCGAATACTCGCCTCCGCTTCTGCTTCGCTCTTTGGCGCCAAACATGCCCAGCCAATAGAAAAGCGCACCCGGGCCTCACGGCCTACGGCGACGGCCAAGGGACAGTTGCCTCCGCTGCGCAGCCGCACTGTAAGAGGGGTGAAAGCTGAGGAAGGGTGCACGGGCGCATCCTTCCCTAGGGAAACCTCTGCAGCTGCGGGAGGATCAGCCGGCCTGGGTTCCAGCCTGTAGGCTGAGCAGAGGCTCTTTTTTTTGAAGCGCAGCTCGCACTATATGCATATCTCGCAACTTTTTTCCATTCGATTCATTCATTTTCGTTTAGGTTCAACGGGGTTCTACCCTGAGGTTGAGAAGGAATGCTCAGAAACTTGGTGTGCTTAATGTTATGACGCAGCATTTTAGTTTTGCAGTGTGGGTTTTTGTTCGATAGAAAAGGGAAACCACTTTTATTGGGTATCTCCTGTGTGATAGGGACTGTGACATATATTTCATTTAATTCTCATGACTAACCCTAAGGTGGCTTTTAAGACTCTTGGTACTGATTAGAAAGCAAGCTAAATAACTTCTTCTTCTTCCTCTTCTTTTTTTAAGTAGGCTCCATGATCAACATGGGGCTTGAACTTAGGACCCTGAGATCAAGAATTGCAGGTTCTACCAACTGAGCCAGCCAGGCGCCCCAACAACTGAATAGATAATTTACCCAAGTTTACTCAGCTTCTACAGTGACAGACTTTGTATTTAAGCTTTCAGCCCTACAGAATCGCCTTTAATTTTAAAGGAGTCATTTACAAACATTTGGGAAATAGCTCTAATCACGAAGTCTACAAAGGGGGAAAATACCCAGATTAACACAAATTCACACAGCCATAATCTTACCTACCTGATTATGGAAATTTTCGTAACCATATAGAATCAAAGGTGGAAATTACTGCTATAAAAACAATTTGTTTTATTTGGCTACCTTTTAAAAAGCAGTATTTTTAAAAAGCCGAGGAGGGGTGCAGGGGCGCATCCTTCCCTAGGGAAACCCCTGCAGCTGCGGGAGAATCAGCGGTATTTAAAAAGCAGTATTTTTAAAAAGGCAATATTACTGGATTCATTCTAGCTAACCCTAGAAACTATGTTCCTCTTTTGCAAATAAAGATCAACAGATGTGTAATCTGAAGAATGAGCATGGGAATGGCCTACAAAGCCTTTGAATCTTTAAGTGGAGTAACATTTCCTTTTCAGCTCTACAGTCAGGGATAATTTAGCTAAGTTTTATTAAATACACAGATCTATAGTGGACTGTGCTACAGGATTGTATTCCAAAAATCGCCAGTATCCAAACAACCTTCATCATAAACCTTTTTAATTTCAGATCCTGGGCCTGAGATTCATTTCTTTACCTGTACAATGGGGACAACAGTACACACTTCTGAGGGGTTGTGGTGATTCATTACTCCTTCAGTAAATATTTAGGAAGTGCTTACTGTATACTGAGCATTGTTCTAGACACTGAAGATAAAGTAGTGAACAAACTATGTTCACAAGTCTATGTTCCACTGTGGGGTACTGATGATAAATATATTAGTGAAAAGTGCTAAGGAGAATAAGCCAAGGCAGGTAAACAGAGTGATGATGAGAGGACCTGAGGGTTTTGTTAGTGTTCAGAGAAGGCACAGACCTGCAGTGGGGAGGGAGTAAGCCATGTGGAGATGGGGCCATAGGATGGGCAGAGAATTTCAGGCAGTAGGAATGCAGGTGCAAAGGCCCCAACGAGGGGGATGGATGACTCACACACATGCCACCCACACCTCTCCTTGGGGCCACTGCTTCAGCAAGGAGGCAGTGACACTGGAGCAGAGTAAGGGAGGGAGACCCTGGTGGCTGAGATCAGAGTGAGAGCTGGAGGCCATGTCAGGTAGGACACTGTAGGCCCTTTCACAAGCTTTCTGTTTTATTTTCAGTGAGATGGGAAACCATACAGGTATTTTGAGCAAACAAGTGACAGCACTGGACTTACATCTTTAAAAAGAACTTTCTGACAGCTGAGTTTAGTAGACAAAAGTTGGCAAAGGTGGAGGCAGGAGACCACTTACGCTATTAAGATAATCCATGTGAGAGAGGATGGCAGCTTGGGCCAGGGTGTGGATGGAGGAGTTAGTGAGTAGTGATTGCATCCTGGATAGATTTTGAAAGGAGTGCTAATACAGACATAAAAAAGGGAGGATTCAAGGATGATCCCAGGGTTCTGACCTAAGGAAATTTAAGTGTAAGTCTGCCATTCCTGAGGTGAGGAAGATGGAGCTGGGGGTGGAAGAAGAGTTGGGAGCTCAGTTTTGAACATAGTAACTTTAGGTGCCTATAGGATATCAGAGTGGATGAGTAGACCATTAGGTAGAGGAGCCTGGAGTTCAAGGAAGGGGTGTGGACTAGAGATACAAATGTGGGCGTCACCAGTGCAGGATAGTATTTAAAGACCATACAGAAAGTCAATGTGGAATATTAAATGGGAGCAAGAATTTCCTGTCCCCTTAGAGGTCCTTCTGCTGTACTAAGAATCAAATTGATATGAGACAGATTAACAGGAGAAAATCGAATTTAGTTTCCTACATACAGGGAATCCACACTGACATGGAAATTCCAAAAATAGGCAAAAAAGGTATACATAATATTATAAAGTTATATATAGGTATATAAATAAATTAATATAAATATACATATGTATATTAACCTGAACTAAGGAGAATCAGGTAGGGGTAAAAGGGAAATAATGCAAGTCACAGGGCAATAAGAAGAGATGTTTGGTAATTAGATGCTTGCCTTGACATATAGGTGGGTCACTCAGATAAAATTTATTTCTGGTAATAACCATTACTCTGGGAAAGACCCCAATTTAGATTCTTCTATGTAGTCAAGGGAGGGGCAAAACGTTTCTTCCATAGGGAGGAAGTCCATAGGGTCTTGATTGCCTTTAGCTCAAAATAATCTTCAAGACAAAGTGGCCAACCTTGGAGCAGCCTGGCCCTTGGCCCCTATAGGACCAAGAGTCGAGGATTGTATGGGCAAGGCCTAATGCCAGCCAGACTCAATAACCCTCACATTTCTCTCTTCTCAACAGCCCTCCCTTCCTTGTTTTTTTTTTTCCTATTAAAGAGGATTTTGTGAGGGATAGGGTCAATTTTTTTTTTTAAACTTCAGTTTCTGGATTCCTAATCTCCAGTATGTGCTAAAGAATTCACCATTTCGGGGCGCCTGGGTGGCTCAGATGGTTAAGCGACTGCCTTCGGCTCAGGTGGTGATCCCAGGGTCCTGGGATCAAGCCCCACATCGAGCCCCACATCGGGCTCCTGGCTCAGCGGGGAGCTTGCTTCCCCCTCTGCCTCTCTCCCTGCTCATGCTCTCTCTCTGTCTCTGTGTCTCAAATGAATAAATAAAATCTTAAAAAAAAAAAAAAGAATTCACCATTTCAATTCTAAAAGTATTTGGAGATATCCACACAAATATGAATGCTGGTTGTGATATTTTTTGTAACACAATGAAATTCTTTCGCAATTTAGATCTATGATTACAAAGCTAACAGAAGCAGCTAGTGAATTTCTAAAGGCATTTCTAACTGATCTTAAATTATCAGTTGCCAATAGTTTTCAACTGACAGAAATGTTGAATGAAAGTTCACTTTGTGATAAGTAAGCAAATCTCTTGGTTGTAGATCCTTTGTAAGAAAGAATGCCAAGCTGTAAAACTAAAGTTGAATTAGGTCTTAACTTGGGTTCACAAGTGTAAATTTATCTTTGAAACAGATTTTTTTCCCTTTTTTTTTTTTTTTTTTTAAGATTCTTAAGTAATCTCTACACCCAACCTAGGGCTGGAAACTACAACCCCAGATCAAGAGTCTCATGCTCCACCCACTGAGCCAGCCAGGCGTACCTCCACCCCTGCTAGTAATTGCTTTACAAAAATCTAAAATCAAATACAAGTTTTAAAAAAAGTAAATTGTTTAATGAGTTCAGTTTTCATATGTTCAGCCCAAAACTTAAATTATATACTTGTGTTAAAAAAAAAAAGGACCTGAGAGCATATTTTTTTTTAAGTAAAATCTTGTGGGAAAATTATAAATCATGAGAATGGTGATTTGTTACCTTTTGCTTTTTGTTCTCATAAACCATTACAGAAACGTTTCCGAAGGGTTCATTCACATTGGGTTTTCAGCATTAGGGAAAAATCACACAGTCTGGGGCGGGAGAGGAAGAAGCCAGCTTTCCTCTGCGGCTCTGCCTCGTTGGGTGCTTTCTAGCCGGCGTCCTCCCACGTTCGAGCCACTGATCTGGGGCAGGACCGTGTGCGTTTGCTCATGGCGCCAAGCACCCAGGTAAAGGCAGTCCTCCCACCTGCGGCGACAGAGCCCAGACCCTTCGCCACCACCACCGATCGATCGCCTGGCCCGAACCGGACCGTAACGCCCCGCAAGGCTTCACCTGCCCTTCTCCAAAATGGCTGAAAGTCGGCGCCGGGGACGCCGGGCGCGCTCCCGGCGGAACGAAGGAGGGGACGGGCCGGGGGCGGGCCGGGGGCGGGGCCGGTGGGAGCACGGCGCTGATTGGCTGGCGCTGCCGACCTGGTCCCCGGCGCCGGTCCGTAGAGCCGGGCGCCGAGGCCTGGGGCTGGGATGCGAGTGGCTGCGGGCTCCCGGCGGCAGCGGCTCCCGTGAGTAGCGGCGACTGCAGCGCGGGCGGGCGGGCGAGGTCAGCGGACGCCGTCGGCGGCTGGCCGTCTCGGCCGCGGGATGAGGAAGCGGACCGAGCCCGTCGCCTTGGAGCATGAGCGCTGCGCCGCTTCGGGCTCGTCCTCCTCCGGCTCGGCTGCCGAGGCGCTGGACGCCGACTGCCGCCTGAAGCGGAACCTGCGCCTGGCGGGCAAGGGGCCGGCAGAGCCGCGCTGCGCCGCGGACGCGGGCATGAAGCGGGCACTGGGCAGGTGAGGCACGGCGCAGGAGCGGGGCCCCCTACCTGGCCCGCACGCAGCCCTTAAGCCCCCCGCCCCTCCATAAGTTTCTTGCCTGCAGGAGCGCCCCACGTCTACCCTCCATCCTTCGGTGTCCTCTTCCAATTCGCCTCCATCCTTTTCCCTCGCTTAGCCCGCAAATGCGGCCCGTGGGCATTCTTTCCCCAGATATCTGCCTGCGGGGTCGCCGCCGACTGTCCCCTTCCCTCCCCTGGTGTCCTTTTCTGGCCCTCCGCGGAGCCCAGCCCCGTGCCCTTACCCTTCCCAGGTGAGCCAGTGGGACCTCGTCCGCGACGGGCTGGACCAGCGTTTCTCCCAGGGGCTGGGAGCGGCGGGCAATCACGACCCTGCGTGGGAGAGTAGAGGGCGTGGGGGCGTCCCATGTGAGGCTCCTGGACGCCCCGCATGTAAGAGGTGGGACGCGGAAAGGGCATGCTCCCGAGCCAGAGAGCGTTGGGATTCTTCGCCTCAGATCTGCATAGAACTCCAAACTGAGCGCCCCTCTTGCTGGGCTGGCGTGTGCGGAAGCTTACCTTTTTCCCGGTTTCTCACTTTGGTAATTTTTCTCGGGTTAACTAGTTGTCAGAAGTGGCATTCTCTGCTCAGAACTGCTGGACCTTTGGGGGAGGGTTAAATGGTGTGCTGTGGGCAGGGATACACCGCATCGTCAGCTGTTGGAGGGAAACCTGTCGTTGATTGTGCAGATGGCTAGTGGTGCTTGAAAATTGACTACACGAGTTGTCTCCTTAGGAATCTCCGTAGACGCAGGAAGTCTTTTAGTTTTTTGCGTTCTCCCTCTGCGTAGGAGATGAATGCATCCAGGTAAAGCTGATTTCAGAATTAAGTTAGTGTATTTCACAGGGACAAATCTCTCCCCCTATGCTAGCTTCGTAATTAAGCTGGCTCTTCATAGAACGTATCGTTCATGACAGTTTTGAAGTCTGGATGTTTCACGGTTTTGAACAAGTTAGTACGTAATATTCTCAGGTGCTGTTGCAGAGTCATTTCTTTTGGGGTCAACTGGAATGCCCTTAATTGACACTGGCCACTTCAGTGTCAAGTATTTATCAAAATAGTCTCTAAAAATATCAGTTTCATTGCCTAAAAGATCATAAAATTGAAAATATGAATATTTGGATAAATAAAAATATAACTATTTGGATAAATAGAAATATCCAAATAGACACTTCAACATTTCAACTTCATTGCTTAAAAGTTTATGAATTTAAACCAAAGTCTCCTCTAAGTCAATGGTTCACATTCTTGCCAGAAGGTTAGGGACTGACAGTATTTTTTTTTTTTTGTATAAAGTTATCTAGTAACTGGTCAATATCTTTTGTGAAACTAATTTGTTCTCTTTTTTTGTGGAAAGGTTTATCTTCATTACAAACTCATGAATAGCTTTAATGTACTTTTGTTAACAGGTTTGGCATTACACCTAGATAAGTTTGGGAATTCTTCCTTTGAAGAAATGAAATTGTTAGGCACCATAGTGTTTGGGGAAACAGTGCTGACCTGGCACCTTCCTCGAAAGATGTATTAAAAGGATATGCTTATTTTCATTTTTGTATCAGGACAAAGACATTCAAGAGGTGCTCATATCCTTTGGAGGAATGAAAGACTGTTAGGGAATAAAAAGAAAAGCAGAGGGCAGGAAAGCCAAATTTGTGTGTTATCCTGTGGCTTCCTTCCCTATTTCTTGGAATGTTCTCCTGGACATTCTTCTGCTTTGTTTTCTTCTTCACCTAGATCTCTGCCCAACTATCACGTCCTCAGAGAGGCCCTCCCAGTCCAGCCCATCCAAAATAGACTTCTTGCCACTCCCAACGCCCTTATTCTGTTTGCTTTTTTTCATCACACTTATCTCTTTTGACCTTGCAATTGTCTGTGTACTTAACTTGCTTTATTGGTTATCTCCTCCCCTATAAGAATGGAAGCCCCATGAGAGCAGCGGCGTTGGTTCCTCCACTTTTCTGGTCTCCAGTGCATGGCCATAGCAGGTGGCGGAAAATACTTACTGAATTAGTATCTGTAGTGTAAATTCCTGGGCCAAGGAGTGTGTGTTTATAATTTTGAAAGGTGAGGCCAAAGTGCCCTCCAGTGTACTGACGGGTACTGGGTACTTTCCCCAGCAGAGTCAGTTGCCACCCTTCCCCCCAATACTGAATGTTACCAAGTATTTTGATCTTTTTTCTATTTGATGAAAATGACATCTGATTTGTAGCTTTAATTTGCATTTCTAATTGTTAGGTGGCAATTTTTGTGTGTTTTTATAAGCCTGTTGTATACCTTTGGGTCTCTCATTACCTGCCTTTGTTGGGTTCTATTGTGCACATTTTCAAATAGACAAAAATAGGGAAGACAATATAATGAACCTTGATGTATCCATCACGTCTTAAACAGTTTGCCATGTGTTGCCAATCTTGAACCACTTGTCCCTCCTCCCTCTGTTTCTTCGTAGGGGGTGGGACTAGAATATTTTAAAACAAATGATTTTATTCATAACTACTTGGGAACTAGAACAAATAGGGACTTTTGAAATATATATAACCTCATTTGCTCTATTTATCAAAATTTTTTTTTAATATTTATTTATTTGAGAGAGAGAAAGAGAGAGAGCATGAGAGGGGCGAGGGTCAGAGGGAGAAGCAGACTCCCCACTGAGCAGGGAGCCCGATGCGGGACTCGATCCCAGGACTCCAGGATCATGACCTGAGCTGAAGGCAGTTGCCTAACCAACTGAGCCACCCAGGCGCCCCCAAAATTTTTTATATTTATCAAATTTAACAATTTATTGCCTATTACTAATTTAATATCCAATCTACATACACATTTCTCCAGTTGTCTCAGAAATGTCTTTTAAAATGTGGTTTGTTTAAAAATCCTGTACATTTCTTAAGTTTATTCCTAGTTATTTGATCTTTCTTGTTGTTGTGTAGGACCCCTTCTTATATTACATATTTTTATCATTGTACTTATTTTTTTTTAAGATTTTATTTCTTTATTAGAGAGAGAGAGAGAGCACAAGTAGGGAGTACACCAGGCAGAGGGAGAAGCAGGCTCCCCGCTGAGCAAGGAGCCCAACCTTAGGCTCCATCCCAGGACCCTGGAATCATGACCTGAGCTGAAGGCAGACGCTTAGCTGACTGAGCCACCCAGGCGCCCCAGTACTTATTAATTTTGTAAGCAGCAACTTATGTAATCATACTGTTTTTAGTAGTTTTTGCAGTTGGTTCTCTAGGATTTTCAGGTATAACATCATATCAGTTACAAATAATAAGAATATCATTCCATGTTTTCTACTTTTTGTCTTGTTTCTCTTTTTTAGTTGCATTGTATTTTCAGAACAAGATTAAATCTTGGAATGATAGTGGGTACCTTATTTTGTTCCTTACTTTACTGAGAATGCTTTTAGTGTTTTTGCCACACTGGTTATTTTACTAAGGGGTGCGTTGTTGCTATTTGTTTTTTTAATCAAAAATGGTTGTTGAATCTTATGAAATGCCATTTTAGCGTCTGTGAAATTATCATAGAGATGTTCTTCCTTGACCTGTTAGCATGAATTATAGTAACAGGAGTGCCTGGGTGGCTCAGTCATTAAGTGTCTGCCTTTGGCTCAGGTCATGATCCCAGGGTCCTGGGATTGAGCCCTGCATCTGGCTCCCTGCTCCGCGGGAAGCCTGCTTCTCCCTCTTCCACTCCTCCTGCTTGTGTTCCCTCTCTCACTGTGTCTCTTTCTGTCAAATAAAGAAATAAAATATTAAAAAACATATGCATTATAGTAACAGCTTTTATGTTATTGAATCATCTTATTATTGAATCATCAGTGAAAACTGTTAATGTGTAGCCAGATTCTATTAATATTTTACTTAGTCATTTTACATTGTTATTTGTGAAACTAGTTTGTAATTTTTTTTTTAAAGATTTTATTTGTTTATTTGACAAGAGATAGCACAAGTAGGCAGAGTGGCAGGCAGAGGGAGAGGGAGAAGGAGGCTCTCCGCTGAGCAGGGAGCCGGACGTGGGGCTCGATCCCAGGACCCTGGGGTAATGACCTGAGCCGAAGGCAGCCACTTAACTGACTGAGCCACCCAGGCGCCCCTGTAATTTTGTATTTTTAGTGTAATCTTTATCAAGTTGTTTTAATGCTTTCCTTAGCTTTATTAAAAGCTTTCTCTGCTTTAGCCTATTTAAATACTTTTGAAATGATCTGTTTCTTTAAATTTGGTGGAATTCCCCTGTAAAACTACCTAAGCCGGGTGCTTTTTTTTAGATTTGCTGTCTCTTTCTGGGTTTAGTGTTGGTGATTTATACATTCATAGAAAATCATCTGTTTTATCCAGCTTTTGCCTCTGTATCTGAGACTGTTATCCCTGTCCTGTTCCCTAATTTTGTGTGCTTACATTTTTTTCCTTTTCTCCCCTTTAATTATTTAGACTAGCTAATGGTCTATCTCATACACAGATATACACTGAAGTATTTTTTCTTTGAAAAAAATCTTTTTTTTTTCCCCCCAATAAAAATTTTTTTTGTTAATTAATTCTGGGAGACCAGGATATTGCTGGAGGTTCTGGAGAAGTAGAGAGAACATCTTCCATCTGAAAGGAGCTACTGCACCTCTCCTGTTGCTGCCCATGGCAGGAATGTGGCCCTAGGGTGGCCAGATCATCCGGTCTCTCGAGAAGAGTAGCTGGGTGTGTGTGTGTGTGTTTGTGTGAACTCAAACTTTGTAAACATTGCAACTAATTCAGATAAAAACAATAACTTTGGAGTAAGAAGAACAAAACATTTTTTGTTTTTTAAAATTTCTGGATTGGTCGTTTTTAAAGGTAAATGTTTATCTAACTCATGTGTTGACCCTGAACTCCCTGAGAGGAGGGACTAGATACTACTTTTTACAGTATCTGGTAATTTTTGGCAAACAAGGGATTTGCGGGCATTTCCTGTTTTTTTCAGTAACCCTGGAGTTCTTG